TTTTCCAATGCTTAAGTGGTGGAACCAGAACATCTCCGGGTTCAGATTCTCCATAAACTGGACCCAGGACACAGGATGTGAGGTTGAAGCTGCAACACGGCTGCATGAGTTTGGACCCGAAATGTTCTGATGCAGAAAAAAACCCGGATTTTCTAAATTATTCACTTAAACGCAGGAAACTTATGGCTTTTTCTCTCGCAATGTCTGATTTTTTTACATTTCTTTTTTATGATACATTTAAGGATTTTATCTTACAGTTTTCTAATTGTAAAATGTCAGGAAATAACTTTGGTTTCATTTTAGAAATTTATGAATGACTGACCTGAAGCAGCACAATGAAATTCACAAAACAACTTCAAATGTGTTGAGAAGATTCAACTATTAAAATATTAGATGAATCTTTTTTTTAGTTTGATGAATAAAAGTCACTTAATAAGTATCAAATATCCAGTATAAAAATGTCTTATTGTAAGAAAACATCTCTTTCTGGCAAATTTACAACTTTTAAACTAAGGTTTTTCTTTCTGAAGAAAGAAGCACAGACTCTGAAATGTGCAAACTTATCAGAGGAGTCAATGAAATAACAAAAGCAGTAATAAACTATTTTATCCATTTATCAGAAATGCCTTGTGGATATTTGCAAATATTCTGATATTTACGGAGCTGAAGGTCCAGAAACAGCCGCTGCTCTTCACAGAATTGTCTCAGCTGAGTTTCATTTGGGCTTTTAACGTTTTTTAAAAACTGGTTGAAATTAGTGATGTGTTCAACTTTCTGCAAACTCTAAACCAGCAGCGTCCAAATGTTTTGAAGTCGTTAAGTTGAAAACACATGGGGCCACAAAAATGGGGAAAAAATGATGACATTTTTAAAGCAAACTTTAGTGCCGTTTTTATTTTATCTGCTCAATAATAAATTAATTTCAATTTTATCCAAATTAACAAAACAGTCAGATATTTGTATCTGCAAATCATTGTTTATAAAAAACATAAAAAAGTTTTCTTGTTTTTTTGGACAGACAAACAGCTCCTACATTTTCTGGGTTATTTCAGAAAAAAATATTGCTTTTAAAAATAAGTAGGTCAATGTTTAAATACTCCAGAATCAAGATGAATGCAAAAATCTTTTTTTTTTCTTTAAAGAAGATATTTTTGTGTCCATCTAGATCAGCCAGTAACTAGAAAGCATGACGTTTCCTAATCCTGCGTCTGCAGCTTTCTGTCACACTCTGTACATTTAGCCTTGAAAACGGTGATGTTTCGCTTCCGTCCCTGGAAGATATCATTAAGCATCATTTGTAGGCATACATTACACTTCACGCAGCAAATCGTCCATCTGCTAATCCTGGAACGCTCTGTCTGGGAGACAATAAATTCATTGTATGCCGCTGCACATCAACAATCCCTCTGATGTAATGCCTCCGTGTAGACATCCAAAAAGTACATTAAACATCGCTGTGTGCTCAGACTGTATGTAGTGTTAATAATGCAGTGTTTACATCTTGGCATTGAGCAGTCGGTACTGGCCTAAGGGTGCGAACTGGCGGGGTTGTGCAGTAATTAGGGGTTGTGTGTTGGGGATGTGAAGGCTCTCAGCGCGTCCAGCTGATCCCACCGCTGGGCCGGCGCGGTGCGGCCCGGCGTGGCCCGGTGCGGCCCGGCTCAGTGCGGCCCGGCCCGGCCCGGCGCTGCACTACCAACCCGCACCTTTCCGTCGCAGCAAGAAGTCACAACTTTTCTCTGGAAGCAGCCGTGACAGATATACACTGCAAAAACATTCAATCTTACCAAGTATCTTTCTATTCCAAATACCTTAATACATTTGAAGGAAGACAAAACAAAGAAATAAAGAAAGAAATGGTAGTTTGTTTTTACTCAATAATTCCTTAACATTGATTAAATGTCTTGTTCTGTTAGCAGATATTTAACTTACAACATGGAAAAAACATCTCGTTATAAATGAATTATCTGCCGATGGAACAAGTTTTTCATCAATTTTAAGGATTGCTGACTCAAAACAAGCTCCTACTTCTTCTTTCAAAGTTAGTTTTGTCTTACTTCAGAAATTTGCATTAAAAACTGAACCAAAGATGCCTGGTAAGATTTTGTGTTTTTGCAGTGCAGCTGTTCATTAAGATGTGAAGGGCAAGACTAGTTTCCACAGAAAGGTGCAACAAAAAATGCTTATCTTGTAATATTTCTCTCCTGAGTTGAACTTAATACCTTGTTTGTGTTAGATGCTAATTATGCTTATTTCTGTCTTGTACTCATGTTTGCTCTGAATCCCTGCTGCTCTGCAGCCATTCCTGCTGAACCTCTAATATCACACAAAATTTGGCTTCTGGAGACTAAAAATCAGGCTCCTAGCATCACAATCCTTTTTTATTTGATTTCTCTCGATTATTTCAAAGGGATCATCCGAGACACTGATTTAGGTATAAAAATCTCCTCCCTGTGTTGCAGCTCGACTGGTTTATGACTCCGAGGGCAGGGAGTGATTTTATGCTAAATGCATAATTCATGGAAAAAGTTTAGAGACACACCAGCAATTTAGCACTGAATTCCAATAAAGCTGGGTGGCTTGCAAGGGACAGATTAACGAGGGATAGTTAAACTCAAAAGAATGAGAAATCCTGACTCCCAGTCATTACTATGGGCGAAGCCCCAAAAACACTGAATCCTACATTTCCCATAATGCACCAGAGCAGTGCTCGTCTTTTAGATGTTTAAGAATCATGTCGGCAGGTAAAATGTTATTGTTTCCTACATTAATATCTGATTGTTTTCACTGTTCATGATCTCCTGAAAGCATTGAAAGATTATTTTTAATTTATTTCTACGTTCTTACAGTCATTTAAAAACAAAATCAAATGACTAAAACAACTTCTGCATGTTGTTTTCTCAAAGTAGAACAGAAGCTAAAACTGATTTGTAAAGTTTTTAGTTGATTAAAAAAGTTATAATTATAGCTTGTGGTTTGAATCCCAGTTCCAGTCATTTAAAGTTTTATCATCTTTAATGATGCCTGAGTGAACTTACCTGCACCAAGTGTTCCTCTGGAGGTGGGAAACTGTAATGACCTGTTATTGGCTGAAGGGTTAAAGGTCACGGTGAAGCCAAACAGAGTTTGGTCTTTAAAGTGAAACATAAACTATACTAGACGTGTCAAGAAGCACATAATTGATTGAATTTAATGCAATAAGAATGTTATTTCTGTTTTTTTACCCTTTATAAATATTTTAGTCACTATTTCTTGAGTTGCTGTTTTTTTAGGGCTGAATGACTGAAGTCAGGCATCTTAACAACCAGGATCGACTTAAAGTATTGATAATATCGTGGGTATTGGTATTGGATTGATACTCGTGTTTTGTTTTAGAGCAGCTTCCTAAATCTATCTCAAAAAATATTTTAGTTAGATTTCCTCTCAAATTATAATTTTTCTGGATTTTTTTTATTCAGAAAAATGCATTAAGATTTGTTTTTCTATTTTTTCTGCTTATCATTTTTTCACGTTAAAGTATTATTTACAAACTTTGTCCAAATTCTAAAAAAAGAAAAAAAAACCTGAAAAACCCCTAAAAGTCAGAAGTTGGGTCAAACTGGGCCTTGACTTGGTATCTAATTATACCAAACACACAGTTTAAATGAACATTTTTAACTGTAAAGTCGTCTGTACCTGGCCGGTTCTGTTGGGCTGTTAGAGTTTATTGTTGAGTCTATTGTTGAAATACAATATTATTTTTAAAAGGTTTGTTCAGGTGACCAGTGTCAAACGCCCAGGAGCCTTAATCCAGATCAAGAGAATATTTTTATTATTTTATATGATGTGAAAATAAAATAAAATAAAGGAGGTTCAGTGAGGCGACATGTCTGTTACGGATTTGGTGGAAGTTTCTCTACACACAGTTTCTTTGTTTTTAACAGTAGGTAGCAGGAAGAGTCATAAACTTTTATTTAATTTAGTCACAGTTTGCTTATGTTTTATCTGAACTTTAGTGTTGATAAAGTGTGTTTAAATTTTTAAGTTAACAGAACTTGTACAACAAAATTTATGAGAAAAACAAACAAACAAAAAAAAAACCCCACAGATGTTTTCATGGCAGGTCGGAGCGTCTATTCCTCTGATTTACACCAAATCTATCATATTTCCATCATATTTCGCTGCAGACGTCTGCAGTCACGATGAGAAGGTTTATTTTTATTTGGAAATGTTGCCCTGCAAGCTAAACCCAACTGGAATCCAGACAGCCTCTCGCATCTCAGTTTGACATTAATTGATAATCAAACAAGCCTTCACATCAGACATTTATGAGATCAGCTGAATTATCTATTTAATGTAACCCAATTATATGCAACCCTCGTGCACCAATCAACACTAATTCCTGACTCATAAATGACAGCTACAGCGACACATTGAATCAATAATAAACATTGATAAAAAAAAAAGTGCAACCCGCTTGGAAGGAGGGTAATTATCGGGAAGAAAAAGGGCCGTGCTGAATTTATTTTTCTTTGGGAAAATTGCTGTGAGATTCCTGCTTCTGCACTGCAGCAGCAGCAGCGACAAACGTTTCGGTTTCCCTTTAACAATCAGAGTTAAGACGTCTGTCATTAATTGTTAACGCCAGCTTCAGCTGCTCTAGTTCTTCATTAAAAGCATGTAATTATTTAACCAAACATCCTGAATTATTTACTCAACCCTTTTCTCTGCTCCTGGAGGAAAAACGAATTGTTTTGGAGGTAATCTTCTTTAAACTGAGTGCATTTAGGAGCTAAATGCTAAAATAAGGTGCGTAAATCCACGGCAGAGGTCCTGCTGCGACATCCTGCACGCAGGAGCCAACGTTCAACAACACATGTCAGCAGAATAACCTTCAGAAACAGCCCATTACAGGCTTCTGGGAATCCCACACCTGATGTCTGCTGGATTCAGCTCGACTACATGAAGCTCTTCTGACAAAACGAAGGTAAGTGTGCACAGAGGGGCCCAGCTGCTCTTACCAGTCTCGTAAAGAGGGGCACTCCCAAATGCCAGAGGTGATCGTTCAGCAGTCCGCTGTACACCACGTTCCCGAAGACGGCAATGCTTCCTGACTTACACAACGTGTTTCCTGCAGGGACACACAGAAACACAGGCACACGTCATTGAAACGGACAAGCAGCAGCAAGGGGCAACCGCATGCACTCCAGCAGGCAAACAGTCGGCAAGGAGAGGAGGGAAACAACCAGAGGCAAATTAAATCAAAGCAAATCACTGTGCAGGAAGCGAAATAATGGAGAATGCAACATCGATTGTTATAAACATTGATTTTAGCTGTTTATTGACCTTATATATAACGACAAATACACATAGATAGCTCCTGTGGAATCAATAAAGGTAGCACTGAGACAAACTGAATTACAGAATCAACCAGACGCAAATCCTCACGCATCAAGACAAATACCATCACCACCTCCTTTCTATAACTTTTCTTTATCAGTTTGACTCGGCTCTCCTCTGAGAGGAAACACTTCAGCGCAGAGAGCAGGGTGAACTTTACAGAGGCAGACCGAGTCTGTCAGTGAGAACAGGAACCAGCTGATAAATCTTTCAGTCTGATAAACCTTGGAACTTCCTGGTTTTATAGCGCAGGCAGATTCTGGACTTGGAACCAAGATTTATCAGAGAAAAAGGGGGAAATATTTCCAGAGTTGCGGACGGTTGAGTTAATATTGATGGGAAAGTTGAACCTGAACTTGGTACGGCTCGTTGCAGCAACATTAAATGATGTTCTGTTTAAATGTGAACAGCTGGAAAAGTTTTCAAAAGAAATGAGATGCAATATTTACAATGTGGAAGAAGAAAGTGAGCGTTCAGTCACTGCGACGCGTCGGCTCCTGTTTGCACCACAGAAAGCAAGAGAGACTTTTCATTTAGCAAAAGATTGAAAAGACAAACGTAATCACGCTAATATGCAACCAATCAATTTATTTTACTCCAACGTTTTGCACGGATTTATCACCAGTACTCTAAGATAAATAAGCGTGATACAAAAATCTGCTCTGGACTCAAACAACAATTAATTATTTTGCTCCCCTGACAACAGTTCCCATTAAGCTTTACCATGTGTAACAGATTCAGGGTCAGCTTGTGATCCCAGATTTAAATGTGATGATTACAGAGAAAATAACAGCCTCAGTATTTGCACCTTGCAGCAGGTGTGCATTAATACACACCAGGAAACACAAAGGAGTTTGATTTATGCTGTAATGTGAAAATAAAGCAGATTTATCTGAACCAAGGATGTCCAAACTGTGGGTCCGGGAACAATTTGTGGCCCTCTGCACGGTTTTGTTCGGCCAGAGCAGTGAATTTTCTCCTCAAGACAAATAAAATCTTATTTTTTGTTTTAGGCATGAGAGAAAGTATTTCTCTATTTTTAATAGTAACATTTTCCTGAAAACAACAAGCAGTGCCCTACTTTTGTTGCCAAATGTAAAAGAAAACAAAATAAAAAACCGAGGACAATCCAAAAACAAATATTTATCTGTCATTTAATATGCCAATTGTGCAAAAACTTGTTTATATTTAGCCTTACAGATTCCTTTAAGCAAAAAATATTACTTTGCTTAATTAATAGATTTTGTATACCTGAACAAAAAAAACAACAAATGTCTTAATAAATACACTGTTTTCAGATTTAATAATAAAATTTTAAAAATGTGGGTGAAAAGTTTGGACAACAATGATTAAACTGGACTCTGCAGTGAATAACATGCATTTATGATAAATATTTAAATGATGTAATGAAATCATTTAAACTTTCAGACTTCATTGTTAAAATTCATGGATTAAACATAAAAAAAACAACATTTCATTTATTGTCATTAGTTTCTTTCTGTTGTTTGCATGTGGATATATTTTCTTACTCTCTTTCCTTTCCATACTTTATTTTTAATTGTTTTCTTGAGTTAAAGTTTGCTCCAGAGACAGAAATTACATCCAGCTTCAGTTCAATTTGTATCAATTTAAGTGTGAAACTTTTCTCTTTAGCGAAAAGCTTTAAATTCTGCTGTAATTGGTTTAATTGTGGATAAATCTCCAGCCTTCAGAGACACAAATGTCTGCATGGGAGAAACAACGCCTCTTTATCAACACTGACGTAGCTTCGAGTAATTAAATGTGGGCTGATGACAATTATTAATGTGCTTATTTACGCAAGTAATGTTGGATTTTTTTAAGTGAAACTTTTGAAACACACTGTAGATTTTTCTATAATTTACTCACCATTTGTAATACTTTTCATTTAAAACAGCAGAAATGTTAGCTTTAGTTCTGGAGCCATGATGTCGCATCGTGTCAGACGGTTTCTCCGGCAGCCTCTGCACGTCTGCTTCGGTTAAAACAAACTGCAGGAGGCAATAAGCTCAGCTTCGTGCCGCTGCTTTAACTTCACATCAACTTTGCATTAAACATCAGCGGTTTTATCATTTTGTCTTGGAGGAGGAAGAGAAAATGCCGTGGTCAGTGAAAAGTTTTGAGTGTTGTTGCTGCGTTATTTCAGGATGTTCTTGCCCTCATAACCAGGAGGTTGAGGGTTTGGCTCCCCAGCTCGGTGTGCGGGTTCCCACAGTCCCTCCAGCATGGTGGGGGTCGTCGTGGGGTCAGCGCCCACTGGGACGCGCCTGCAGGGCTGTGGGAGAGGCTGGCTTTAGGATGACCGTGCATTTAGATTTTATCCTGCTGCTGCTGCTGCTGTGAGAACTGACACAAAAAGCTGCAGTTTTTATTTTATGTCCACAATAATCAGAAAAAAAGGGAGAACTTATTGATTTAATTAGTTATCCTTTGCGCTGGTATGTACTTTTATTGATCTACTTTTCTGTTTCTCTTTTACCTAAAATATATGTGACTCTTGTTCAACTGAGGAATATTAGAAAATAGGAAAATAATGATGCAAATAAAAATGTTTAAATGAAATTTACATATATTTTCTACCCCACAAAAGTTAAATATTTTTATTATTCTTCTTGTGAAACTTTTGAAGATGTTCTCTGTTGTTTTTGCTCTGAATGAATCCATCTTAGTGTGTTTTTATCGGTTTATTTTGCACTAATTTGTTGGTCTGTAATGTTTCTTCTATCTGCACTAACTAGTGAGTAAAACAAACAGAAAAAAGTATTTAAGTTTGTATTTATTTACCTCTTTTCCTTCAACATATTTCAGTTTTTTTTATTGTTGTAAACGAAATACTGCTTTAGTTTAAACGATACTGTCAGGTTTTTAGCATTATTTTACATTTTACATTCATGTAATGAGATACATTTATAATCATTTTTTCCCGTTGAACTAAAATGTCTCTCATTGCATCTCTGGATGAAAACAAATGTTTTCTGTTTTTTATTGAATTGTCTATTTTCTTTAGAGCAACCTTTTGAGCTGCCCTGTATTTAATATTTCAGTTTAAAAATAATTTTTTTGTACAAATTAGTTGGTTAATTAGTAATGCTATTCCTGTTTCTCTCCTGTCCCCATCAGGAACAAACAGGAATGGATGGATTCCTGTTTGTTTGTTTAGTTTTTGTCACTGGTTTGATCCGTTTCTTAATGGTTTTATTCTGTATAAAACCAGTAAAATTTTAGCTTTAACCGATATGGTAAAGAATAAAATCCACCAGGTAGAACAGCCTGCTGATTTTTATTTTTTATCACCTTTCTTGACATTCTCTCTACACTACTTCACAATTTGGGCCATTATTGTAAAGTTGGGGATAACTGTCCATTAAATCCAAATGAACCTCCTCCTGACAGAGTGAGCTGCGTTTCCTGCAGCTGGACGCCGTTCAGGAGGTCACAGAGGAAGCAGTGGTACATTCGACCAACTCGTACAGATACTGTCGATTCCCGTCTGTTTGGGGATTTTTCTGTGGAACTTAACTCTACAATATTCATAAAAAATTGCCAATTTTCAGATTTTTCCATTGAGCTTTAATACATAGAGAGTACTAAGGAAGCTGACATTTCTAGTTGCAATGACACTGGACATGTTATTGGAGTGCAGTTTGGTTTCCTTAGAGCTGATTGGCTGGAGAGCAGGAAGCCTGATTGGTTGGAGAGCAGGAAGCTGATTGGCTGGAGAGCAGGAAGCTGATTGGCTGGAGAGCAGGAAGCTGATTGGCTGGAGAGCAGGAAGCTGATTGGCTGGAGAGCAGGAAGCTGATTGGCTGGAGAGCAGGAAGCTGATTGGCTGGAGAGCAGGAAGCTGATTGGCTGGAGAGCAGGAAGCTGATTGGCTGGAGAGCAGGAAGCCTGGGGATGTTCTCCTTTAAGACTTTTCCACTAATTTGCATATTAAAGGGGTGATATTGTGTAAAATCACCTTATTTCAGCTTTATATCATGTCATGATGTTACAAAGCTTTCAATTACTAACTTAAGACTTTTTAAAAGCAATTTTAGAAATATATTAGAAGATACAAATGAACACTTCCTTTTTTAAATAAGAAAAACTAATTTTATTGCATTAAATGCAGTAACAATATTGTTTTAGTAAATTTGAACCAGGTGAAGTTTTGGGTGGAACGTATTTACAGACAACCTGTTTTCTATTGGAAGAAAACAGGTTTTCTTCCAATAGAAAACCTGTTCAAAGCGCGTTCAGACTGGAAGACTGACCTGCACTGGAAATAGAATATATCTGTTTGCTGAGTTGATAACTTATTTTAGGAAGTGTCAGTGCAGAATGTCTTTATATTTTGTACAGTTTTGGCTTCATTACTGCTCTGAATATGTTGTTTGTTTGAATCTATACTTAACAATTAATCAGTGACTAAATTAGCTGATGATTATTTCAATAATCGGTCAAGCTGATCAATCATTTCTATGCTGAAAGTTTCATGTGGAATTGGATGAACTCCACTGATCTCTGTAAATCTGCTGCTTTTTAAATCATTTCCTGTTTTATTTTAAACTGCGTCAGATCATCAGATTTCCAGCCGAGACATCTGAAGCTCTCCTGCATCGTCTCCTTCATAAGTTCACCATCACTAAGACGCTCTAAATTAGCTCAGTGCCAATGAAGGCCCTTCACAAACAAACACACACACAGGCGATGTGAGCCCACCCCTTCAGC